GCTATTTTAGATTCCTCTATTGAGAACTGTCTATTTAGTTCTGTACCCCACTTTTTAGAGGGGTTATTAAGTGTTTTGGAAACTAACTTCTAGAGTTCTTTGTAAATTTTGGAGATCAGTCCTCTGTCACATGTGGAGTTGCTGAATAACTTTTCCCATTCTGTGGGCTGCTCTTTTGTCTTCCTGACTGTATCCTTTGCCTTGCAGAAGCTTCTCAGTTTCGGGAGGTCCCATTTATTAATTGTTGTTCTCACTGTCTGTGCTACTGGTATAATGTTCAGGAAGCTGTCTCCTGTACCAATTCATTAAAGGGTACTTGCCTCTTTCTCTTTTAATATGGTCAGTGATGCTGTATTTATGTTGAGCCCTTTATTCCATTTGGACTTAAGTTTTGTGCATGGCAATAGACATGGATCTATCTCCTGTCTTCTACATGCCATCATCCAGTTATGCCAGCACCATTTATTGAAGATGATTGGAGCTCAGAGTTAGGCCTTTGAGAAAATAAGCAGTATAAACAAACCTTTATCCTAACTAACCAAAAGGCAGAGAGAGAACATGCAAATTATCAAAATCAGAAATGAAAAGGGGAACATATCAACGGACACTGAAGAAATCCAGACAGTATTCAGGTCATATTTTGAAAACATGAACTCCACAAAATTCAAAAATGTATAGAAAATGGACAATTTTCTGGATAGATATCACTTACCAAAATTGAAGAACAGATAAGCTACTTAAACAGACCTATAACCCCTAATGAAATACAAAGAGTCATCAAAAGTCTCTCAACCAAAAAAAAGCCCAGGGCTAGATTCAAAGAAGACCTAATACCAATACTCCTGAAATTGTTCCACACAATAGAAGCAGGAGGTTCATTGCCAAATGTTACGATAAGTCTTTCTGCCAAAAGCCACCTGAGCCCCACTGCCACATGTGAGCTTTACCCCAGCCTCCTGCCTGAGTTAGGGCCCAAATGAATACACAGAAACTTGTATTAGGTACAATGCTGCTTGGCCAATGACTAGGATTCTCATCTGTTAGCTCAGTCTTAATTATCATAAACCTATATATTTTATAAAACTTATCTTATCAGATGCCTTGTTGGCATCCTCCATTGCCGGTGGATCACATTGTGTGGCTGGAGCAGGAGCGGAGGGGAAAAGAGGGACGCTTCCGGTTTCTCCTTCTTTAAATCTAAGTCTCCTTGCTATGTCACTTCCTGCCTGGATCATCACTTCTCTACTACATTTCCCAGAATCCTATTTGACTCATAGGCTTGCCTAACTTGCCATTTCATTGGCCAAACAATATTTTATTTAACAATCAATAAGATAAACATACACAGAAGTACTTCCCCCATCAGCCAAACTCTTTTTATGAGGCTACAATTACTTTGTTACCCAAACCACACAAAGACTCAACTAAGAAAGAGAACTACAGACCAATATCCCTCATGAACATTGATGCAAAATACTCAATAAAATACTGACAAACCAAATCCAAGAACATATCACAAAAATCATCCACCATGATCAAGTAGGATTCATCCCCAGGATGCAGGGTTGGTTCATCCTATGAAAATCTATCAATGTAATCCACCATATAAACAAACTGCAAAAGAAAAACCACATGATAATCTCACTAGATGCTGAAAAGCCTTTGACAAAATCCAACATCCCTTCATGATAATGGTCCTGGAGAGATCATAGATAACAGGAACATACCTGAACATAATAAAAAACAATATGCAGGAAACCAACAGCCAACATCAAACTAAATGGAGTGAAAGTCAATGCAATTCCTCTAAAATCAGGAACAAGACAAGGCTGCCCACTCTCTAAATATCTCTTCAATATTGGACTTGAAGTGCTAGCTAGAGCAACTAGACAACCAAAGGAGATCAAGAGGATACCAATTAGAAAGGAAGAAGTCAAACTGTCACTAATTGCAGATGATATAATCGTCTACATAAGTGACCCAAAAAACTCTACCAGGGAGTCCCTACATCTGATAAATGCCTTCAGCAACGTGTCAGGATGCAAATTAACTAAAAAAATCAGTAGCCCTTCAATATGCATACAATAAATGGGCTGAGAAAGAAATCAGTGAAGCATCACCCTTAACAATAGCCACAAACAACATAAAATAACTTGGAGTAACACTAACCAAACAAATGAAAGACCTGTATAACAAGAACTTTGAGTCTATAAGAAAGAAATTAAAGAAGATACCAGAAAATGGAAAGATCTCCCATGCTCTTGGATAGGTAGCACCAACATAGTAAAAATGGCAATCTTGCCAAAAGCAATCTACACATTCAATGCAATCCCCATCAAAATACTGGCACAATTCTTCACAGACTTTGAAAGAACAATACTCAACTTTATATGGAGAAACAAAAGACCCAGGATAACCAAAACAACCCTGTACAGTAAAGGAACTGCTGGAGGCATCACCATTCCTGACTTCAAGCTCTATTACAGAGCTTTAGTCCTGAAAACAGCTTGGTAGTAGCACAAAAATAGACAGGTAGACCAATGGAATCAAATAGAAAAACCTGGTATTAACCCACATACCTATGAACACCTGATTTTTGACAAAGAAGGTAAAGATATACAATGGAATGAACAAAGTCCCCAACTATGCTTTAAATATCTGTCCTTATACATAATGATAAGGATAGTCCTTAATACTTACCAAGGAAAATTTTCTTTCCAACAGATGGAGACCACCACACTAAACCACAGGCAATCAAAATGCAGAATTATTGAGCTTATTCCCAAGGGATAAATCTAGAATACAATTTGTTTTTACCCACAGCTCAGTAATCATTGTGAAAATAGCTACAGAAAGAGTATATGATCCAAAGATATAGATAGCTTGCTGTGAGGTTGTGTCTTCTAGGAATGTCAGATATTTACCTATAAGGTCACACAAACATGATTGCCTAAATACTAGCTGATGATTGATAATAATACACATGTTAATATGGAAATGGGAAACATCAGGAGGCCTGAACTCTCCACAAATAACTTTAGGCAATTAACAAAAGCTGAGAGCCAGAGAAATGGTCTTGCCTAGGGAAGAGTAGATCAATTGGTTATTCAATATCCAAATGGTAGTCATCCCTAAAATCATTATTACAAATACCAACATAGAGAATGAGCAGGTTTCACTTACGTACTTAGAATATATACCTATGTGTGTGTAAATGTGTGTGTGTCTGTATATGTATGTAACAACAATTAATGAATAAAGAAATCATGTACTTGAAAAATAACATAAATTGGTATATGGGAGCAATTATAAGAAGGAAAAGGAACAGGAAAATGATATAATTATATTATAATCTCAGAAAATAAAGATTTTTTATGTACATTATTTATTAATTTCTTTAAATTCATTTTGAACTTCATTAAAATTTAGAAACCTTGTGCTCAATGTGATACACTATGGAGAAAATGAAAGTATCTAAATTTGGAAGGAAAATATTCACAAAATAACACATGAAAAAAACTTTTCTTTCAAAATAAATAAGAAACATTTATAAATACAATAAATAACAAAAACACTGAATAAAAATTAGTGCAAACCTTAATAGGCATGAAAAACCAGATAACATATAATGTTATAAGTTATGTGTAACCAAATAAATGAAATTTAAAACAATGAAATAACAGGTACAATGACCAAAATCCACACAAAGAAATGTTAACAAGGCAAATGGAGCCACAGTAATGTCCATCCATTGCTTTTATAAAACAGTATTAGTTGAAAACATTTTGGAATAAAAATGATACTGATATTTTACACTTTTAAAGCAAAGGGACAGGGAGATTTAACAAAATTTGGCATAAACTTTTAATTCTTACTTTAAAACTCTGTAAATCTTTTAAAATGAAGTATAAAACAAATTAAATATTCTCCTTTTAGTCCACCTGTGGAATGTTATAGGAGTCCACCAGAGACGACCACTAAAGCACAGATTATAGCCTATAGAAAGTCTTTACTGCAGCCTGCTGGGACTACATTCAGGTATCCAGGGCCCCATGTATATCCCCTAGTATCCTGAGCAAGGCTACTTTGAAGGCAAAAAAATGGTCCTGACATCTTTCTTGGCAGCTTCATTGGACTGGGGTCTTTAGAAAAGCAAGCAGTTTAACAGAAGTTAAGATAAACAGAGTTTGATGTGGTTCTGAACAAGCAGGCAGTTTAAAAGAAGCTCAAATGCTTTGCTAGGGCATATTGACCTTGGAATCCTAGAACAGAATTTCATAATTTTGCATGGGATTCTCCAGCATGGAAATCAAATTCTAGCTAATCCTGAAGTGACCTCAGAAAGAATACAAGATGGAGGAATCTCTGTACTGTCTTTCTCTGTCACAATGATACTTGGGAAACAGAGGGACATTATAAAACATAAATAGTGCCAGACTCTTAAAGAGCTGGGAAGCTCCAGATAAAAAAGTACTTTTAGGTCAAAATCACTCTGTATTTTTTTGTTGGACACTTTAGAAGATACAGCACCAACAATAAACTTGTGTGAACAGTGACTGTAGGAAAAAATGCATCAGTGTAGGTTCATCACTTATAAGAATTCCACATGCAATAATTATGCTGGTTAGGGACACTAGATATTTGTGAAGACAGAAAGTGTGAAGTAAGTACTTTTGTGCTTAATTTTTCTGTAAACAATGTATCTCTAAAGTTTATTTAAATTGATGAGAAATAATGAGAACTAAACATTAACAGCTACAAATGTCAGTGGCATTAGCAATGAACAGAATATTTGTGCTTTCCCATTTATGGTTTAACTAGAAAGCCAAATTTCATGAAAAGAAAGAACCTATGACTAGTCTAGACAATGTAAGTTAACACCAATAATTGAATAAGCTATGATTTTGGTGGATTGAAACACAATCAATTCTGCATAGCAAAGGAGGACATTTGAAATTATTTGGATACTAGTCCACTGAAAAAGTCATTGAGATATTGTGTAAATGTATATTTCTGTCATATTTTTGATTTTCAAAACCTATGCAGGGGCCATGCTAATATTCTTTGTATCGTTCCAATTTTAGTATATGTGCTGCCAAAGCAAGCACCTGACCTGACCTAGTGAGAGCACAAGGACACCAGTTGTAAAGCTGAGGAGCCAGCATTGGGCTGAATCAAACCCTCTGAATGTGGGTGTCAGTTAGGACGCCTGGACAGGCTATGGGACCTCTTATAGTGGAACCAATATTTACCAATAATGCACAAATGGACCTTGGGAGCCCATTCCCAATGGAGGGATACTATTGCAGCCCAGATACATAGAGGAGGGCCTAGGCCCTCCCCCAAATGATGTGACAGACTTTGATGATTTCCCCCATGGAAAGCCTCAACTTTCTTGGGGACCAGGTGGGGATTGGGTTGGTAGGGGATGTGGGAGGATGGGAGGGAGAGAGGGAATGGGGGGATTGATATGTAAAATGATTGTTTCTAAAGAAAAAAAGAAATAAATTGGCAGATGGGCCAGCCCTAAGGAAAGAAGTGCTGGGATTAAAGGCGAATGCACCAACATCCGGCTGTAATAATAATAATAATAATAATAATAATAATAATAATAATAATAAAACCTGAGCAAAAGTCATCCAGAATAAAAGCTTTAGGCTCTGTCTCAAGAATCTATTTTTAGGTATTAGGGATGGGGAAAAACAAAAACTACAAAACCAACAACTTGCTGCTACAACATATAGTAATTACTGCTGTCATAAAATTGAGGTCAAAAGACATTAATACCTTTTAAAATGAGATTAATCAAAACAACCACAATTAGTCCATATCTAACTCTTCATTTCTCCATCTCTCTCTCTCCTTATCCCTCCCTCCCTCCCTCTGTCTCTCTGTCTCTCTCTGTCTCTGTCTCTTTCTCTCTCCCTCCCTCTCTCTGTCTCTCTCTCTCTGTCTCTCTGTCTCTCTCTCTCTCTCTCTCTCTCTCTCTCTCTCTGTATGTGTGTGTCTATCTTTCTTTCTTCCTCTATCTTATAGATACATGTAAGAACTCAGCAACTGTCCCAGTTCTATGCTATGCTTTCTGTCATAATGATCATGGAGTAATCCTCTGAAACTGTAAGCAAGTCCCCAATTAAACGCTATCTTCCATAAGTTGATTTGGTCATGGTTTCTCTGTTTTTGTCTTGGTTATACAATTAAGGTTTGTTATTCTTTCTTTAAAATCAATTTTTCTGTTTCTTATGTAATATTTTAATTCCAGAATCTGTTTTTATTGTCCTGTAAATGTCTAATTTTGCTTTTGCTTTTACTATGCTGCATGGAGCTTTATTTTATCAGATTTTGTTCTGGCAACTTGAGTTGTAAAATTAAGTCCATAAAACATACCTGCAAGTACTATTATATGGGCATTATAATTTATGTAACTTAAATAAACAGTATCTTAAGATGACTATTACCAGGGATAACATACCATCAAATAAACAACTTAAAATAAATGGATACATTTCTACAAACAAACTATGAAGAACACATCATGAACAAATATGAAACCTGAGCAAATTAGCAATTGAGACCAAGAATCAGTAGCTCCCACAATACAATGTAAAGTAAATTCCTATTTGACTATTATAGTCTATCAATAATTAAGGGAATTTATTTTGAACCTTTACAAAAAAATGACAAAAATATAGAGAACTATCTAAACTTATTTTAGAATCCCAGATTTGCCCTTAGAAAAATATACTATGAGAAAAGAAAATCACAGTCAATACCTCTGGCATACACAGAAGTAAAAATACTCAACATATCATTAGCAAACTAAACTAAATGGCACATGATGTTAACTGAATGATAATACACTGAGATCAAGTGGAATTTTCCTCTGGGATGCAAAGATGATTTGTTATATGTAAACAAATTAGTGTTACAAGCTGAATGTACAGATTGATGGATTAAAATGATGAGATAATCAATGGATGAGAAAGTCCTTTATTAAAATTTAGTAACATATGTGATAAAATCTCCCAGCAAGAAGATAGATTTCAAGAAATATATTTCAATGTTAGATATATGTGATTAATTCAAACTAATATTTTCCACAGTTAAATTTTGAATGTTTTTCCATTCAGATAATAAATAATTTTGGAGCACTTTATTTGACTTCATACTGGAATCTGGTTAGAAAATTTAGCAAGAATATGTATAAATCATTCAGTCTGGAAAAGTCCACATTTACTTGTTTGCTTGTTTGTGGATAACATAATCTCATTTATAGAAAACTTCAAAAATTACACTTTAAAACTCCTAGAATTGGTAAAGAGATTAAATTTTTTGAAGCATAACAAATTAGCTTTAAAAATAAGTTTCATTTTATACAATAGTCACAGAATATTGTTAAAAACTATCTAGAGAAGATGTCATTTGGATTGGATAAAAAAGAGTGACATACTTAGGAACACATTTAATTGAGGGGGTAAAAGGCCTTTACACTGAAATGTATAAATTATTACTAAAGGCAAGAACACATAACCAGAAATCAATTTATTAATAATGGATGGTAAATCACTACTGTTAAAATGCCCATTCTTCCAAAAGTAATTCATAGAGTCAATGCAATCGCTATCAAAATTCCAATGACATTTTCAAGGGTATGGAGGAACAATCTGGAATTCACGTACAAGTGGCTCAGAATAACCAACAAAATCGTCAGGAAGAGCAAAGCCAGAAATACTCAATCTCCTATTTTCCAACATATAACAAATTCCTAGTAATCAAAAAATCTGGCAATGGAATAATATCCAAATATTCTGAATTAATTTTTGAGAAGGACATAAAATAGGAATGGGTATTCTATTAAACAGTGCTGGGAAAACTGGAAATTCACATGGAAAAATATAGAAGCTTTTATTGTATGTCAGTTACTAGAATACTTATGAAATTGATCAAAACTTTAAATTACTGACATCTGAAATCATGAAAGAATTTGCAAAAAGAAGCAAAGTTCTTTGATAATTGTTTTAGTAATGACTTTTTTGGATATGACTATACAAGTATAGCAAACAAAAGTAAATGTAGGAAATAGAGAGTTTGATCAGCAGTTAAGAGCAATTTTTTCCCTTGAAGAAGATTTAGAGTTAGCACCCATCATATATACACAAGTTAACAACCATTCATAAGTCCAAGTTCAGTGGATCTGGTGTTCTTTTCTTACCTTTTGTGGCATCGACAGGCATGTGGTACATATACAAACATGGAGGAAAACATTCATTCAAGAAAAATAAAATAAATACTTGTAAAATTTTAAAGTAAAGGTATATAAGTAAGCATATACAAAATTTTAAAAATGTTTCTACAGAGCAGAAGATGAATCCATAATCAGGGAGGAGCAAAAGCAGTTGTGTAAAGGAAGAAAATATTTGCAGACCAATGTGATGGGGAATGTACTGTGTATGTTTATCTTATTGATTGTTAAATAAAATATTGTTTGGCCAATGACACAGCAAGTTAGATGGGACTAGGAGTCAAAGAGGATTCTGGGAAATCTAGTACAGAAGTGGTGATCCAGGCAGGAAGTGACATAGCAAGGAGACTCATATTTAAGCAAAGGAGAATCAGGAAGGGTCTGTTTTTCCCGTTTGCCTCCTCCAGCAGCACAATGTGATCCACCGGCAAGGAGGGATGCCAATAAGGCATCCAAATAGATAAGTCTTATAAAATATATAGGTTTATGATGGTTAATACTGAGCTAACAGATGAGAATCCTAGTCATTGGCCAAGCAGTGTTACGATAAATCTTTCTGCCAAAAGCTGCCTGAGCCCCACTGCCACGTGTGAGCTTTACGCCAGCCACCTGCCGGAGTTAGGCCCAAATGAATACACAGAAACTCGTATTAGGTACAGTGTTGCTTGGCCAATGACTAGGATTCTCATCTGCTAGTTCAGTCTTAACTATCATAAATCTATATATTTTATAAGACTTATCTTATCGGACTCCTTATTGGCGTCCCTCTGTGTCGGTGGATCGCATCGTTCCGCTGGAGGAGGCGAACGGGAAAGAGGGCCCTTCCTGTTTCTCCTTCGCTTAAATATGAGTCTCCTTGCTATGTCACTTCCTGCCTGGATGATCACTTCTCTACTACATTTCCCAGAATCTTCCCTGACTTCCAGTCCCGTCTATCTTGCTGTCTCATTGGCCAAACAGTATTTTATTCAAAAATCAATAAGATAATCATACACAGTACATTCCCCATCAAAGCAGCTTTGAACCTAATACAAGTTTCTGTGTATTCATTTGGGCCCTAACTCAGGCAGGCGGGCTGGTGTAAAGCTCACACGTGGTGGTGGGGCTCAGGCGGCAGAAAGATTTACCATAACACCAATGTTTATTTTGAATGGCAAAAAATACACTCCTAATTTTAAAGGAGCCAAGAAACACATAATACAAAACTACTTTGCCGTTTGTAGATTTTCAACCTAAAATTCTTTGCTTGAAGCTGATAAATATCACTGATCATCAGAAAAGTGAAAATGAAAACCACCATTATGTATCACCTTAAGACCATACAATCCACACCACTAGAGAAGGTAGACAACAAGGAGTTCTTTAAGAGAGACATTCATGGTTCCCCAGAGAAGGGGAAAGGGACATGATCTCCTAAACAAACTGGGAGCATGGGGGGAGGTTAGAGGGAGCTAGGAGAATGAGAAGGTGGGAAGAGGAGGGGTGAGGAGGAAATAAGGGAGCAGGAAGGAGGTTGTATAGGGGGAAGAATAGAAGAGAGAAAAATTAGAGATACCATAATAGAGGAAGCCAGTATAGGTTTAAAGAGAAATCAGGCACTAGAGAAACATCCAGAGATCTACAAGGATGAGACTAACTAACAATCTAAGCAACAGTGGAGAGGCTGCTTGAATGCCCTCCCCTGATAATGAGATTGATAACTAACTTATATGCCATCCTAGAGCCTTCATCCAGCAGCTGATGAATGTAGAAGCAGATATCCACAGCTAAACACTGAACTGAACTGGAATCCAGTTTTAGAGAGGGAGGAGTGATGAGCAAAGGGGTCAAGACCAGGCTGGTGAAACTCACAGAAACAGCTGACCT